AGGTAACAGTGGGATATATATATTAATAAATATAATATTAATTAAATATAATTAGGGAAAATTATATATCTAACACCCAATTCTTGTGGATTTACCTCTCACAACTAAACTTTCATTTTTACATACATAATACCGTATTTATAGATAAAAAGATTGATTTGACAATTAATAGATGATAATGAATGTTACTTTTAATGTAATGTTAGAATTATAAAATTTTAGATATGAGATAGGTAAATATAAAATTTTTTGTGTTATATATATAAAGTCCCTATTAATTAATGTAAAACATAATTTATTTTTTTTATAATAATAGTTAATATATATTAATATTTAAATTATTTATAATATTACATATTATATATTAAAAAATTAATTAATTAATGTAAAACATAATTTAATTTTTTTAAAATAATAGTTAATATTATATATTAATAAATTAAAAAAATTAATTTTATAATATTTTAATGAAAACAACCCTAAGGGGGACATTTTTAAAATACCTAATTTGAAATAATGGGCCTTTGTGCTTCTTTAAATTTTTTTTTTTTTCAAATTCCTCCCTCAAAATCAATATATTTGCATTCTCCCTTCTATAATTTGGCCAATAAACAACAAAACCTCAATCCAACTTCTAATTTTAGAACTTTAAAAGACGAAATTAGAGCTATAGCCCAAGATAATCATGCGTATAATAAGCATTTTATTGGATACTCCATCCCTATTTATTGCACGCAACTCAATTCTTATTCTAAACCACAAATCCTAGCCATCCAATCCGAATCCAACGAACCAGAAGCCTCCCAATACGACCGTCACCCCATCATCTTCTCAAACTCCCATATCTTAACCCTTACATCCCTAAGGTAACCTCCTCCCCCCTGATACTTCACCACAGCATAAACAAGATGACGCAGCGAGAACTCCGGCCACATACATGCCGGCGCATAAAGCATACAAGCCCCGCTCTGCCACAGAAAGAAGTTACTCATCCTCCACTCCCCCGACGTCCTCACCAGCAAATCCGGCTCCGGATACCTCGCCATAAACATCCCCTTCTCCACATCCGCCACCGTAACCCCACCCTCCTTCTTCTCCTCACACGCCCCGCTCACCCCTTTCACCACCTCATACTTAGACGAATACGAAAGACATACCAGTAAATCTAGCCGATCGTTCCCTTTAGTCCTCTCCTCTGCTTTGCGCGCGAGGTCCCTTATGTCCTCCTCGATCAAGCTCAGATCGCCGACGAAATGGATGCGGATGCCCGCCTCGTTGATGACGGAGATGTCGTTGTGGAGGGCTCTGAGTTTCTCGCGGATGAGGGATTTTAGGAATTGGATCTCCTGGAAAGTGCGGCGGAAGTTGTCAATGGAGAAAGCAAAGATGGAGACGAAAGGGATGCCGAGTTCGGCGCAGTAGCGGAGGATGCGGACGACGTTGAGGAAGCCAATGCGGTGGGCTTCCTCGGGGAGGATGGAGAGTTTGCGGGCGTAGCGGCGGTTGCCGTCGAGGATGAAGGAGATGTGGCGGGGGAGAGGGGAGGAGGAGAGGATTTGGAAGATGAGGATGCGGAGGAAGCGGTGGGTGAGTTCGGCGGCGGTGGAGGTTAGGGTTGAGGTGAGGGTTGGTAGGTTTGGCATTGGGCTGGTTGGGGTTGGATTGAGGGATTTGGGTTTTAGAGTTTTTTTATAGGTATTTTCTTAGGGTTTTGAGGGGCGCCGGAGGTGTGAGCGGCGGGAGAGAAGAATGTGTGCGGGGATGGGAATGATGGATCTGCAGTGTCGTAGGGGAATAGAGCACATGTATCCATTGTGATTATCGTATGTTAATTTCTATTTTAGAAAATGAAATATCCAAACCTAGTGGAAAGAGTATCATATGCTATGTTGCTATTTTGGATGAATATATTTACTAATATAATATAATATATA